TGGGAAACTTTAGGAGCTGTGTTCACAGGCTGATAAAGGCAGCAAGCACTTCATGAAACGTGGAAGATGCTGCTCTGCACAATTAGGCAGGATGGGGCAGGGCTCTGAGGGGAATGTGTGAGCACAGTTGTCCTGCATCAGGGCAGAGCCCATCCAAGCCAGTCCCCTGTGTTTGACAGTGACCAAAAATAGCCCCCCAGGGAAAGATTTAGTGCTGCTTCTGGTGTTCCTTTGCTTTTGCTTTCCTCGAAGCAAAATAAAGCTGTGGTTTTAGGACAGAGGTTTCATTTAGTTTCGAGATTCACCCTGAAGTAGTTTGGCTTTTTTCTGTCATTCCCAAGGGAGCAGCATGAAGTTGAGTCAGGGCAGGGTCAGGTTGGATCTCAGGAAAAGGTTCTTCCCCCAGAGGGTGTTTGGGCACTGACCAGGCTCCCCAGGGCAGTGGGCACAGCACCAAGGCTGACAGAGCTCCAGGAGTGTTTGGACAACACTCTCAGGGACAGGGTGGGATTGTTGGGGTGTCCTGGCCAGAGCCAGGAGTTGGACTCAATCCTTGTGCATCCCTTTCAACTCAGTCTGTGATTCTGTGATCCTTTTAAGACTGATCAAACATTATCCAGTTGAAATAAGGGCATTTATTGCGTGGAAAAGTTGACACTGCAGTGCTAACAAACCTCTTGGTTTAGTTTTGCTTTACTGGGGTATTTCAGTATCATAAAAGGGATGGTAATTTATCAGCAATTGGTTTTTGGTGTGGGCAAAATGTTCTGTGCAGTACTTGACTATGTAAGTTCTGTCAGGGATGCACAGTGGAGTGTGAATGTGTTCCCAGAGGTAATTTAGTGACCCAGTAGCTGTTGCATCTTCTTCATCTTGCATCATATAAAATGAAATATTTTTATTAAAAGTTCCATTTGATGTTCTCTCTTCACATCTTAAAGTGCAAAGTTAAAAACAGTGTTAAGTCTTTATGGGTCTATCCTGATGGAATTTTAATGGAGAATAGGGTGTCTGTTACCAAGGAACATTACATTTGTAATGAGACTTTGTAACCTGGATATTGGGAATGTTAAACAGTATGTTTCCATTGAATTTCATTATAGCACTTGCACCAAAATCGTTTAAATCACACTTGCAGGCACTGGAGTGGAGCTGCTTGGGTCATGAATTGATATAAAAGTTGTGAGCAGCGTGTTAATTTATTAGGAAAATAAAAAGTGAGATTCATTTTGATCATATGGTCATTTCTTAATGTGGAAAAGGAGATCTGTTTAATACATTTTAGAGGTTTTGAAGTGACGTCTTTGCTACTTTTAGATGGAAAAAGTGTTCCAACATTTTTCCACAATACTTTGGGCTTTGAGACTGTACAGAAGTTGTTGACATCTTTAAATCAGAGCTCTTATTTCACATGTCTGCTGTTTTTTCCTCATTTAAAATGGTTTTGAGTGTGCCAAGAGAAGTAAAATTAAGGCCTTGAAATAGAGAGTTTGGGATTCAATGGTAAGTAGCTGTAAGAGAAGGGTCATGTTACTAAATATGCAATAGCTGCAGGGATCTCTTTTGTTCATTAGGAAACAGGAATGCATGTCTGCTGAATTAGTCAGATATATTATTATAAACTAGTCTTTTTGCATGGATGTTTGTACCTTTTTCACTTTTCAAGAAGACAGTAAGACTGTTGTGCAGGTTTTCTTTCAAGTGAGCGTAGGTTACATGGTTCACTGCTCTTTCTGGTCCACTAAACCTTCAAATGCAGCCAAAACCAGCTTTTAAAGGAAGTGTCCTTAAAAACATAAACTATTTCCAAAGTATTGGCTTCACCTCTGTGGTTGGGATGTTCAACAAGATGGTCAGAATATGGTTCTGACCCCCTTAAAGCGGTGATTTGACCCAAAATTTGGCCTTCCAAAACCTGATGGATAACTTCAGCAAGGAGTGGTGGCATAAAAGGTGCAACACGTGCTGGCATTGCATGTTCAGTGTTGCTTTGACGTTGGTTGCTTGAGGCTGTAAATCCAAAGAGGATATAAGCAGGTCCCTGGGATTACATTTTTAGGTGCCTACACTTCCAAAATGAGTAGAGATTTGGAAGTGTCCTAAAGAAGCTTCCAGAGCATCAGATATTGTATTGAACAATCTGCAGACTTGTTCTCTGCAAACTGCTTCATACAGGAAGTTACCAGAATTATTATTGAGTAAAATTATTTTGGTGGTGTTTGCTTGTATTTCTACTATTTTACTGTCTGTAGTTTTGTCTGAAAATTGTATACGGCGGAAGATAAACATGGTACTTTAATTAGAACATGTTTTCTCTTGAGAGTTTCAACTAGTTAGCACTGGTATTACTGTACAGCAGAAATGATAAACTGTTTATTTTCTTGCTGTGATGCAACTGTTTATAAAGCTGTGGCTTGAGAGAGATCTTCAAAGTTCATTGATTTCTTTCAGTGAAAGCATAACCAAGTTGTTGGTGAAGAAAGGATAAAATCCTGCTTCCCAGTTGTGATTTTTGTTCTTACTGAATGCTAAGGGGTGTTTGCAGTAACATGCATGGTGCATGTTTCAGAGTTGAAATTCAGAAGTTGCATCAGCCCCTCCCTGTAGTGTTTCTGTAACAGAGAATTTACTGGGTGAAGTTCACTTTGTCTTGGGCAAATAGAAAGCAAGTGGTCACACCTTAACTCCTTTTTGGGGTAAAGTTTGAGTGATGTGTTACTTAGTCATGAGGGGATCTCTATTCTTTATTACATTGAAATGGAAAGTGGAGAAGAGTGTGGACTGTGTGCTCAACATTTTTGATGTCTCAGAGATTCTAACAGCCTCAACATGTGGGCATTAATAATTAAAGTCTCACTTCAGGAGGCATTTGGTGCCTTTATTTTTCTGAGTTCTTGGTAGGATTTTTTCATAAGAAAGATCTTTTACCTTGCTTAGAGAAAACATTCCTTCAAATCCAGAGAGCTGCCCAAGCTTCCATGGTAACAACCGTATTTTGTTGGACACCTTTGCAGCTTTTATCTTCCCAGAAATGCATTTCCCTGTGCCCAAAACAACCTTTCAGGCAGATCCTCAGAGCTCTGTCATCTTTTAACGAGTAGAAAAATCCAACTCAAAACCAGTGACAACGTCAGTACCTTTTGTGTGAATCTGGTGATAACCACAGGATGTCATCTGCTACATTTCAGTTTATAATGGGACCTGTGTGAAGGGTTTAGCAAGTCTTGTCAAAATTCTTGTGTGTGATGTGTGAGCCAACAATGCAAGTCAGAACTTGGAAATCTGACAGCCAGAGAGTCTAAAACCCCAAAATTCCTCTTATGCCACAAAGCATTGTGGTTCTGGAATTGCTCTGGCTATTAAATCCTTACCTCAGCTATTCTGGGTCTCTTACTGAGTTTAAAATATCTTACCTGTCATAGTGTCAACATTTACATTATATCCTTGCATTTGTCTGTGGCTGGAGTACAAAAAAGTTTGTATTCAGGTTTCTGCTGTATTGTCAGTAGTTTCCTCTCTGAAATGGTTAAAAAATTCTCTGCAGTCTTAGCAACTTGCAGCTGGTTCTCTCTTGAATTTAGCTGTGAATACAGGTTGCAGCTACTTCTGTGGCTGGAGAACAGGAGAAGTGAGAGTATTGCTGAGTGAACCCCCAAATCCGATTGTGTGTCAAAATTGTTACTCTGGTGGTTTAACAGTTTCTCCCTCAAATCCCATTCCCATCAGGGACTTGAGGCTCTCCCAGTATCTCTCAACTGAGCATCTTCTCAGACTAAAAGATCAAGCAGTGCCAACTCCTGTAAAACTTAGGAATTTTTCAAGGGACCTGCATGACTGAGGTTCAAACAAGTTCTTTCAATTCCACAAGAATATCTGTTGGCTGACTTTTTGCTTCATATTATTTTACAAGACTTCTGAGTCTGGCAATACTTTAACAGAACTATATTCCATTCTCAGTCACAGAATCACAGAATATTCTGAGCTGGAAGAGACCCAAGGATCATCAAGTCCAATCCTCTGGCCTTCTTGAAGTATATTAATATATTAAGTAAAATCACATATCTATATATACATAGTATATTAATATGTTCATATAATATATGAAGTATATTAATTTCCAGTGTAAGCCAGCAAAACTTAATTGTTTGCTCATTTATATTTTAGAGAATAAGCAGTCACTGTAGGGGGTTTGTGTTGAGTTGTCCTTGAGTATTTTTAACCTACTGGTCACCAAATATTCTGTTTGTTCCCATATTTTTCTTGACCAAGAATGGTCAGGTCACTTCACTATGTCTTACTGTGACAAACTGTTTAATGGTGATAATCCCATTTACTTTTTTTATAAAATCCTTTGATTATAAATACGTTATAAAATCACCGTTAAAAAGTGGTGGGAGTTTGTGTAATAAAGCCCATTCCACTTCCAGTGTAGTTAGCAATTTTGAGGAGTGGAGAGATTTAAACTGCTTACATTTGACATATGGAAAAGTTATCCAGGTTTAATTGCCCGTGTATTTCTTAAGTGAGTAAGAACCTATTCATTGCATACCCTTCATCCCTTGGCTTTTCTCTCCTTCTTGGTCTTCTGCCTCTGCTACTGTTGTGTTCTGATTCCAAAATGATTTTCCTTCAGTCTCCCTGTTTCACTGCTGTGGAATTATATTTGCACCATAAACTTTAGGTCATGTCCTGTTACTGAGGGCTTCTGTAGGAACAATTTATCACACTGTGCTTTCAGGTGAGCTTGATATTCATTGTATTTAACCCCCAAAGGAATATTCTTAGACAAATTACTTGCATGGAATTCACTTTTATGACATCTTAATAGTGAAAAAGTATATATTGGAGAAAAAAGTATGTTAATGGTCTCAAGAATTCATCTGTATTTTAGCTGTGTTATCCCCTGCAAATCCAGTGGAGATTTTCTAGTGGGTCTTATGAGTCTGAATGTTTTGATAAGAGAAGAATTCTATTCGAATGAAAAGACTTGCAACAATATATGGTGTTTTATTATATTTATTATAAGACTCCATAAAATATTGTAATACAAGAGGTTGTTTGCTTGGAAATCCCTCCTTGTGTTGATCTGTGTATTCAAAATGCTTAGTAAGGCTTCTGAGAGCTCTGCTCAGCAGTGCTGCAAAGGAAACTGAAGTTGTTAAGAAATAGTCTAAAATCATTCATTTTAATAATTTAGAGTTCTTAGTCTCTCAAAACAGTAGTTGGGAAACTTAAAGGTATTCTACAAAGACAAAGGAGTATTAAGCAAAGTGAAAGGGAATGAAGGAATCAAATGTTGAAAGTGCACAAGAAATGAAAACAAACCACCTAAAACAGGACGTGGTGTGTAAAAACTCAGCCTGTTGGTGTCACCATTCTTTACCAAACTTAGCTGATTACTAAGGCAGGACTTCTGACTGTAGTTTATCAGGAAAAATATCCAAAGCAATGTTTTTCAGAAATCCATACATCTTAGAATTGTTTCTTACAGGAAGTGTGTTATGTTTTGACTCGGTGCAGATCAAGCCCCACTGAGGTCATGGTCTATTTGAGTAAGAGAGAACTTTGAGATACAAGGGTGTGATTTGGTTTTTTCTAATCACAGATGTGAAGCTTCAGAGCAAACAAAACTCAGGTTTTCATACATGCTGTCTACAATATGCTGAGAGGAACGTTTGGAGCCCCTTCCCTGTTAACTGTGTGTGATCGGGACGCTCGGCTGATTACACGGTGTGTCTGTGGGCAGGAGGTGTTGGCATGTGTGGGAAATGCACAGGGAACCTTCAGTTCCAGAGTGAGGGCAGTAAAATTGCAGGTCAGTGGTTAATATGTGCCCTCCGAAGGTTTCACAATGTGCAGTCGCCTCCAGCTTTTATGTGCCTTTAAGAAAACCAGTCCCTGTATGAAACCGTTTCATCCACTGTTCTGATCTGTTCTGAAAAAGCAGTGGTTAGAGAGCACACCTACAGCAGTGAAAAAACAGAGTGCTTTGGAGGTCTTTTTAATTCCTCACAGAACAGCCCAGAGAAAGAGGAAAGTAATTATGTGAAAAATAATGACTGGCCGGTCCCCATTTCCTACCACCAACCTGCTCTTATGAGGAAGGGCTTAGAATCCAAGAAATATGAAAGATGGTAGAATTACTTTCAATTTTTATTGAAATTCTTCTTTAAAAAAAAAATCTTCTACTTCTTATCAAAATTTTGGCTACTTCAGAGAAAGAATATAATATTAAAATCTAGAGTGGGATATTACAAAAGGTTCTTTTCTATGAACCGAGACATTAAAAACATCTTCAAGAGCCAGAACTCTTTCCTAAGGAAATAAATCTGTTTGTAAACACTTGCTCTTTATATCTAAAAAGAAATTAATATTGAATGTGTTCCTGAACTTTCTTTATCTACATTGTCTTTGAGTGGTGATTTATGACTGTCTAGAAGCATTCAAATAACTACTAACTGGATATTTTAAAGTTTTGAGAAAGTCTAGTTAGTCACGTAAGTGGGCAATGTGATCCTAATCCTATACAGTATAAAAATCTAACGAACCAACTATGGTACAAATAGATGGAACCTATCACTGTGAGTTGAAAAATAATTTTAAAAAAAAATATATGCTTAGTTTAAATTAAAAAAATCCACACAGAAATTAATTACTCATTCCTATAACTCATCAGAATCTGTTTTTGAATACAGGAAGTTTTCAGGGTCATCTAAAACAAACAATTTTTCTTTTCTTTTTTTTGCCTTGAAATTTCAGTTGGAAGAGAACTTATCACTGCAATATGTTTCGTAGAAAGTCCAGGAACTGTGTATGTTTTAAGAAATTTCCTTCTTGCATTGCTGGAATTTTCGTAGCTCAAGGACTTTGATCTGTATCACTTTTAAAGCTGATGTTTAAAATATTTTAAAATGTTTTAAATTCGGTTAATCAAATAAGACAAGACCAAGTTGAGCATTTAATTATATTCCTCTTTTCTAAAATCTGATTTTGTGGAGAGCATTTCTGGGGGCACAGTTTGATCTGCTGGGTTTAAACAGAAAAGTTTTAATAGAAACAAAAGTTGACGACATAACCTTAAGCCTCTATTTTTACATTTAATGTTTTTATAATGAAACAATATGAAGAAAAACACTACTACTTTGCTTCAGTATATAATATACAGAATCTTATTTATAGTAGTAGAGCCAAGCAGACCTGTTAGTGGCAGAGAATAAATAAAGCCGTGTTTCTAGAGATGGGGGGGTTGCAGTGCAGAACTGGAGGGGGGTTATTTGCTCCTCTGTGGCTTAAGGACAACACTGCAATAGGATCTGATGCATGAAAACGAGTGTGGGGAGAGCTTTCTCGTGTTGATGTAGTTGTTTTCAAGATGGACATGTTCCAAACGGGAATCTTCATTGTCCTCCTCCTCCTCCTCGCTGTTGTCACGATCATCGTCACCGATGTGAGTCCTGCAGATGCGCTCGGGGGGCACCGTCCTGGGACACGGGGGAGGGATTAGGTTATAATTATTCAAAATAACTCTCAATTTCATCACTTATTTTTGAGTTGCTCTTTATTTAGATATTTGAATATACTAACTTAATAGGAAAATTAAATTTTCTCAATTATATATTTATGGATAACTCTTTTAAAAGTAATTCTTTTTAAAATTCTCTCCTTGCATTGATTTCTTATTTATATCATATACTTCGTTTTCCTGAGGGAAATATTGGCACGGTTGCTGAATGAAAATTTCCCGTATAACACATGGAAGATCCTCTGTCTGTAAATGCTTCGCTTTGCAAACAGCACAGAGGGACTGGAGAGCTCCATAGCTGGGCCTGGCTGGAACCTGCTCTTCCAGTTAGTTTGGAATCCTTTGGGCTTTACTCCAAGAGCACAAAAAGCTGGTGGTTGCTCTGCCTGTCAAAGTGTAGCTGCCCCAGGGGACGTGGCCCAAGCACTTTTACAGCTTAATTTCTTGGAGAGAACTGTTGTGCCGCACCTTTGTGAGCATTTTCAACAACTCTGAGGGAGGGTGAAGTCCCACTTTTATCATATTCAGAAATACTGCAGAGGAAAACTCAGGATTTAGGTCTTCCTTCAGAATATTTTCAAATAAATATTTACTTTAAAGTAGCAAATCCCTAAAGCAAAGGCTGTCTTCTGGCATTTATTTTAATGCCATTAGCCTAACAAAGATTACCTTATTTTGTTGTTGTTCAGCCTCAGAAAACGCAGTTTTCTCATTTCATCAATTCCAAATGGCACAGACTTCAGTTCATTGTGATCCAGAAACAGCTCCCTCAGGGAGCGATATGCTCCAAAAAACGACACCGGGTCTATGCCATCGTCGGTAAGTTTGTTAAAGGACAGGTAGAGATACTCCAGCCCTGGCTTCATGTGGCCAAACACATAACCTGGGATTCTTTCAATCTGGTTTCCTATAAGTACCAAGTGTAGTAAAGATTTTGGCAGGTAGGAGGGAACATGATACAATTTATTGTAAGAGAGATCGATTGATTCCAAGTTCCTGCGTTAAAGGAGAAAAAAAAAAAGGCTGAAAACGCTCTGCCCCAGCGCATTGGTAATGCTTGATGGGATTACAAGGGAACTGAATTTCCAAGGGAAATTTGTTTCTGTTACTGGAACAGAATGCATTATATGGAACATGCTCGTGTGTAATTACTCTGGGAATAGAAGGAATTGAAGTCATGAATTAACAATCAAGCACAATGGTTTTGTTGATGGGAAGAGATCCTCAGTAATGAGGACAGAGGGGGCTGAATGGGGGAACCCCGAGGGACTAATTTGGGTTTGCTGCAAAAACACGTAATGAGCTTGGGACTTCAGTCATCATCCCATTAACGGGGAGTTTTCAACTTTGCTCTAAAGGCCATTTGAAATGGAATTGTTTTGTGAATGAGTCATCCCCACAGTGCTTCACTTCCAAGGATGAGAGATGCTGTCAGTAGTCACAGCGTGGTTGTTCCCAGATCAAGGAATTTGCACATTCAGGGATCAGCTGACAGGGCTGCGGTGCCAGGTGAGGTACCCAGGTACCCTCTGGAGCTTAGCAAATAATTTACCGGGAGGATCAAAAGCAGCAGCATCTTTTACTCCTTACATTCTCATTACTTGCTCTGCTTATATTCTACTCACAGACAATGCATCATATTTACTTTTATGATTTCTAATCTAATGGAAAATAAGGTTAGGACAGTATTAAATTATTTTTAAATTACCTGTGAGATAATTAGATATCAATACCAAATTATCATATAATTCCATGGAGTATTATTTATAATTGATGTTCACTTTTTTAATGGATGGTCAGAAAAAATATTGACTTTCATGTTAATATGATACAGATTTGAGGTAAAATATCTTTTCATTTGACAGCTGACTGCATATCTTCTAGATTATACAAATAAGAAAAAGCAATTAAGACAAATTAGGAAAGGAAAACACACAAATCAAAGGATAATTACAAGTCTAAGTTAAAAATAATGAAGTGCAAATATTTATTTTATTATCTGACTCACTAGTAACAGAGAAAAATAAAATAAATGTCTTTTAAATGATTGCTACTTACTCTTGGTTTATCCAGGCCAAAGGTGCTATCCTGTGCTCTTCTAATTTGTTATGCTTTAGCCCAATGACATTGATGTTTCTCGTGTGGTTAAAGCAAATTTCTGACACTTCTTCAATTTGATTATTTTCAAGATACAACTCCTGTAAGTGCATTTGGGAAGAAAATTTGTGAGATTAAAATATACTGGTTTTCCCGCTCCAAATTCAAAATGTAGCTGTTACGTGCCCTCCACATTTCCTGGGATATCTGCTAATTCCTGAATCTGAACCAGAGGCAGTTTGTAGCTGGAGCGTGACCTTCAGGAACACAATTTTTCAAAGCAGTTGTTTTGTTTTCTCATTTGTCAGAATACAGGTTGCTTTGAAAGGTCAAATAGAAAAAGAATTGTATCTTTTGGGGTCTTTTTGGTTTGTTTGGTTTTTTGGGTTTTGGTTGGTGGTTTTTTTGGTCGGGTGGTTGGGCTTTTTTGGTTGTTTTGTTTTCTTTTTACCTCGAGAGTGGCAGGAAGACCTTGTGGGATAATTCTAAATTTATTTCTTCCCAGTCGCAAATAACAAAGACTTTTCAAAGGATAAAAGGCCAAAGGACTGACATTTGCTTCACTAAGTTTATTTCCTTCTAATTCCAGAGTGACCAAGTTCTTTAAACCTGGGGAGAAAAAGTTGGAATTTCTGTTAGTTAGTGCCATCTTATGTCTCATTAAAATGCACATTTGTAACGTAAAAGTTTTAAACATCACTCAGACGAGTTCACAGCAATGAAAAATGTGGTGAAGGGATTTCATTATCTCATAATCATAGAATTATATTGTTTATAACTTTGTAGAGCTTTGGAGATTGAGCACAGCTTTATTTATAGTTTCCTCTCCCAGTTGGGATGGAAAGGGCGGCAGCTGCAGCCCTTGGATAGTGCTCCCATTTTTCCTGGTTGTGCAGCTGATGTCCAGGGCCCTGTGTGTGTGTGCTGACCTTTGTGCAGCTGCCCAGGGATCCCCAGGGATCCCCATGGGGCTCCAGTCACTGATGGGACAATGGGAATGTTCTCTTCCCTTGGGCTCATGTGCTGAGAGCCCCCAATGGATTATCCTGTTCCTCCTCCTCAGCATCCGAGTGCAGGGCACAGGGAGAATCAATGGGGACCAGTACATGTTACCAGGAAATATTATTTCATAATAAAACATTTCTCATTCACAAATAATCCAAATCACTTCCTTTTCACAGAAGGCTTGTATTGCTCCTCCTGACAGTGCAGTTTGGGGATGTTAAACTAAAAGGCTCCTGCAGCCCTTGGCCTAAGTTTTTCTTAGTCTTTAGATTGCTCCAGAGTGAGCTGTGGCACTAAACTGATCCAGTTTAGATGGGACCCTGTTGGCAAGAGATCAAAGGATAAAAAAGTCCATCAAATTATGACATGCATAGCCCCCTTTCTTTTTTCTTTCTTTTTTTTTTCTATCAACTCATGTTTAACTTGCCTTAGAATGATCATGGTTAACTCCAATTATATTCTACCTTATTTTTCACTCATATCAAATTTCATTCACTTTAATGCAATTTAAAACTAATTAGTATATTTTCACCACACGATGCCATCAGGTCACAGATCAGGAGAGTAGGTATCTTCAACATATTTCAAATCCATCTCTACTTAGTAACCTTAAATATAAACTTCTCTGGGAGAGGAGCAGTTGCATAAGAAGGGAAAATATAATTTTAAAAAACTTCATCATGCAAATGTTTCAGCTTTTGTTGCCTTTTGAAACCAGGGCACACAAAGCCAACAATTACTTTTCTGCCTATATCAAACCAGATGCATTTGGTTAAACACTCTCCTTTTCAAATTCATTTTAAGCTTTTCACATGATCAATATTAGTTTTCTAATTACCTTTTAAGCCATCTTCATCAATGGCATGAAGGTGGTTGTCATTTATTTTTATTTCTTCCAAAGTTGATGGCAGTTCAGAGGGAATATGGACCAGCAGATTTCCATCCAAATACAAACGTTTTAGCTTTTTCAGGATCTTAATCATGGGGATGAAGAAGAAAACTTAGATTATCCAAGTGTAAAATATATAGTTAAATATACAGTGTAATCGTAGTTAAGTTTTTCTTACACGTGTTTTTTTGAAGATTTTCAGCAGCAGTGCACTAGTATCCAGAGTCTAATTAATTGGTTTCTTTCTGCTAAATATAAATAAATGTGCCAGTTAATGCCATGTGTAACTGGAAGGGTTTGACTGGGCACATCAGCTCCCACAGCCATCCAGCATCACTGTTTGCATCATTGCTGCTCCCTGCGAATCCCGTAGGCATTGCCTCACCACAGTACACAGCATTTAGGGGCTCAAAATGCAAACATATATAAGTAATGTGTTTATACTCTTCATTTGTGGGCAAATCGGTGCTTTTCTGTTGGTCAGCAAATTTACTCGGGCAGGACAGCAACTGTTTCAGTAACTGAGCATTTTTATGACTGAAGCCAGCTTGAAAAATTAGTATGAAAAATTATCACAGCTTCATTGTGGTAAATGCACATCAGTGTCATGCTGTGGGGGGCATTTCTTGAAGAGATGGTGGGGGTTTAGCAGTGGGTCCAGAGAAGCCTTTTTTCCTGCAGTTGGGTGTGAACTGTCTGGTGTGATAAAACCTTCACTAAAATTTGTTTCACACTTGAGACACCTTCTGGTCTGTCTTTGGCATCCTCTTTGATTTCATAGGAACTGAAGCCCTTTGAAATCAGCCCAGTCTGTTCCTGTTGCATGGAGGGGGGTGTTAGACACAGTCCTGCAAGAAGGTTGATTGCACGTGGCAGGAAACAAAATTAGAAACACACCGTGATAATCCAATTTGTTGTTTGAATGCCTTTTGTATTCATCTTGCCTGAAAAAGCAAGGCCGTAATGCCTGACTTCCACACCTCAATTACCACCTGTAAATACTTACTTTGGGAGGAATTATTACGGGGTTATTCTGTCTTCAAGTGAGGAATATGTCGGTGCACTTGAGTATCCTGTTGTCACTTAAATTCCCTTGGCAAGGAAAAGTCTGAATATTGAAAGGCTTTGGACTATTTCATGAGAAAGCTGTTCTTTTAATAAGCAGCTGTGCTTGAAAGTTTCTCATTAATGTAATGAGAAAGAGGGTACATAAATTTACAAGTGTTGAACCTGAGTGATCTGGGTGTGTTCAGTGGAATTTGAGCCCTTCGGTGCTGAAATCTCACAATTGCAATTGATGAAATATCAAAAAATTGTCTATCTTGTTGTTTACCATTTAATACTTGGTGAATGTAATTTATAAATTCCTAGATATTCTTGATTATAATGAGAAATTTATTGGAGTAGCCAGGTTTAACTGTATTGTAATTACAGAATGGTTACTTGTAAGAGGTGCAAACTGGCTTAGATCCATAAACTGAAAAGCAGGAAAGACATTCCTTTAAAGCAGTAATTAGTGAGAGGATCATAGAAGAGTTAAGCTTTCTTACTTTGAATGCTTTTGGACCTATGCCAGGAGAGGTAATATTATTTTTACTCAGATCAATCCATTCCAAGTTAGGTATCCCATTGAATGCTTCATCTGAGATAGTGGTGATGCTGTTTCCTAGGGCAGAATTCAGGAAAAAAGTTTGAGTTATGAAATACAGTCTGCATCTGAGTTGTGTAGTATGGTACATGGAAAATATGTTACAGAAATAGTTGTGTACAGTAATCATGTGGAGATATGTTCATAAAACATTGGTAAGCAAATCTGGCATTTTTAATTTATTGTTTTGGAGGCTTTGCTGTAAAATTCAATCCAATACATTTTTATGATAGGGAGCAAAAAAGTATTACAGTTCTGTTGACTGTATTTGAGTATGAATAATGTTATGGAAGTCATGCAAAGTAGACCCGTAAATTACCTGTAAGGTCTAAACTTGTCAGATCTGGATCTGAGATTGGTGGTATTTGTGTAAGTTTGGCATTAATGCAGCTTACTGTGGTGTCTGAGGTGGAACATGCAGATGGCAAAGGAGGAGCTTCCACGGGTGGAACAGGAATTGGGAAATGAGATGGAATTCGGAAAGGACCATCATCTTCCTCACTGTCAGAATGCAGTTCTTCTTCTGCAGCTCCTGTTCTTGTGCTGGGCCTCTTTCCTCTGCGATGGCCTTTGTGCTTCTGGCGATTCCTTTTGCCTTTCCTTTTTCTTTTCTTTTCACCCTTTCTGTGACCCTCCTTAATCTCTGTCACTTCTGTTTGAAGCAGTTCATCCTTTCCAGTCTGAGTTCGTGCTGATGGCAAGACATTGGTGATATCAAGGTCACTGGGTTCTGGAGAGTCTCCAGACAACTCACTTATGTCATCCAGTGAAATAATACTTGAATTCAAAGAGGAGCCTGAGCAGAGCAATGAGAACATAAAAAAACAAACCAAAACAACACAAAAGAGTCTGGTAAGAAACTAAAATTTTAGTGTGCCCCACATATAGTAAATATATAATGGCTATAGAATAGGATTCCTCTTAGAATATGGTTTGAAAAAATGAAAATATGGTCTTAGATTGCTGCTTGACAAAAGAGAAATCCTTTACGGAGAAATGGTTGAGCACTACAGAACAGTTTGTACACAGGTGTGATTTATGGCAGCTCCAGAAAGAAAGTGGGAAAATTAATATAGCCTTCATTATCTTCCTTTCTGACCTATTATTAGTTAGTTTTTTGTGTTGAGGGAGGTGTCTAAAGAGAAAAAATAGTATGTCTGGGTGAGGGAGGTAATTTGGATAAAATTCACAAAGGTTAAGGCTTGTTCTCTGCAAGGGAATGTCAGGTGGGGAGTTGGCTGCAGGTGGGGATCTCACCAGGGAGATGCATTAACTCCATTACCAAAATGCAGTTTTTACTTGCATAATAGGGCAATTCTAATAAAAGGAGTTTAGTTGTTTCGATCAACATGACTTCTAGTTCTTCAGTTAATTCCTGTGGTGTCTCATCTCACAGTATTTCAGTGTCACATGCACACACACACAAGGCTAAATAACATTATTATGGTAAGAGCAGGTTGAGTTCAGTACTTTGCAGACATAAGATACTGGGAGTGAGGGGAAGAAATCACATTTCATCTTCATCTCCTCCATTCCTTTTCTTTTCAAAATTACTAATTTTATTTAAATGTTGCTAGAGAAGCAAGATCATAGTTCTGTTGCTCCTCTTGCAAGTTAACTTTCTTATCTTGATTTATATCAAATAGCTGCATGTTTTTACACTCCTGGCAAAGATTGACCAGTCTGTGTATCTAATACATTAACAATGGCCAGTGGTTATTGATTAATGTGTTCCATACCAGGATCAGAGCACACTGGGCAGCATTCCCCTTCGGGTATGATGGTGTGGGGACATTTCAAGGGGTGGCACATGGTGGTGTCACAAATCACCTCTCCCTGGGAGCAGAGACAGGTGACGCAGGGCCTGGGAGACCAGACGGCTTTGTCGAACATAATCATCCCGTTGGCTGAGCACTGCCCCTTCTTCCCTAGGGACAGAACACCAGGAACTGGGGTTAAACAGCTTCAACTGAAAGCAAACCAACAGTGTTCATTTAAAACTTTGGAAAGAAGCACTGCCACTGAGGGGCTTTTGCCCCTTAGCAGAAATCACAGATCACTATGGAAGTTGTGCACAGATACAGTTGAGAAAGAAGCTAGTTTTCCTTGTAGTTAAAATATGTCATGCAGGACTTGAATATTTTTACAGCCCTCCTTCTGTTTCTCTGTTGTTCACTAGACATCTTTTCTAATACCTTGCACATTAAACAAGAAAGTTTTGTTAAGGCTCTGTGGAACCAGGAAAGTAACAATATTTAAGTTATAGTGACTCTTCATAGGCTTGATGGAAGTCAGGTCCATTCTGTGGTGACTGATGGGATGGCAAACATCTCCCCTTCCCTGTAATTTCCTTTATTTGAAAAAACCCTGTTTACTAGGAAAGTAGCAAACTAAAACAACTTGTGCTAATAAATACTGCCTCCAAAGTTTCTGGGCATTAATCTACAAAAAAAGATATTTCCCCAGGTTACCAGTTGAAATTTTCAGAAAGAAACGTAGATTCCTTTTGTAAGCTCTACCCAGATATTCAGTAGGCAAGACATTTGGAGGTGTAAAGACTTGGGAAGGAAACTAATCCCAGTCCCTTTCCTTCCAGTGATGGAGTTTACTCAGCAAAGGTTTCCCTGGGCAGGATAAACATTGCACTTTAGCATAATGCTTTTCTTTTTGGTGTTTTGAGAAAAGGAAAGCCAAGGCTGAGATTCTTCATCCCATGTAGATCTCCCTATTTTTGAGTGCACCTCTAAATGTGGTGAGAATCTGAACTCCCTGCCTACCTTCCTTTTCCTCTGTAATTAACCTGAGAATGCATTGCTGAAGTGTTGTTTCAAGCTGAAAAACCATTTCTAAGTTACTTTTTACTTCCCTGCATATAAAGAAAAAAAATTTCCTGTTTTCCTGTTCAGTTTGACTTTCTCCTTCTGATGAAGGCTGTATAATGCAGTGGAAAAACCTTATCTCATCTGAATTTGCATGCCAAGTGTATCATTTGTGATACACTAATTGTCTTTGAAGGGGTTGTTTGCAGGGTTTGTTTTCCCACACTCCACCCTAGTCCTCAATTTTAAGAAGAGTACTCAGGATAGCCTCAACATGTCCTTGAAAGATTATTGTAAATATTAGGTTTGAAGTGTCTGTGGAATTAATATTTGTCTCAAAATGAGGCATTTTGCAAAGTCCTTCAAGGCAGTCATACTGTCACCTTCATAACAAAGGTCTTCTTTTGCCCTTCTATTTAAAGACCATGGGATATGAACCTGTTTCTAGAATAAAAATTAATTATCAGAATTATCCAGTTTGGATGTTCCTCAATATTTTGTATATATTTAAAAATGCTTCTATTTAAGTTACTCTCAGGATGGAAAAAGCGAGAAATTAATGTTTTGAACAGTTGCATCTTGTTTTTTTCAGGGGTCTGGGATATCTGTACCTCATTTCAGCCACGTAAAGTTGTGCTCTAATCAACTGAAACCACGTTAAGTGGAGGAGGAGAGGCCCAGGCCAAGTGTTAGTTGGCTCTGAGTCCCTTGTCACTCTACCCAGGTATCTGTAATCCAGCTGTTTGCTGGATCCTGACTTCTGGTTTTTATGTGCTTGCCAGGAAGCCACAATTTTTCTTTTAAATAATCTCCAAAGGAAACACAAAATGAACGCTGCACTTTCTCATGTTAGACAATAAAACATCAGCTGTTCCAGAGGAGCATGATCTGGCTCGAGGAGGAAATTCTTCTGTGCTTCCTAAAATTCTTTAGGTTGTTTTAGCTACCAGACTGCATCTGAAGTTGGTGCAAATCTGTCTGAATAAGCATAAAGATATGAGTTATCAGGCTTGGCCTCTGTAGGCTTCTGTAACAATTTATCTTGTTTTCTGTGGCCATGGGAGTTGCTTTGTCTGGCAGGACACGTGTGTGCTCAGAGGCAAAGAGGGACCTTGTGGTGCATTGCAGAACTGCTCTGTGGAACTGTGGAATTCACATAAAACCCTTGTGGGACAGAATAAAGGCTGGGCTGAGACGCTCCTTAAATATCCTGGCCCCTGAGTAACTTTACAGGGTGGTACAGGGAGAAGTGGGGATCAAGAGGTGTTAGAAATAGTGCAACAGTGAACATCCTATCAACATCCTCTGCTCAATGGACAGGCTGCCAAGGACAAACAAGTGCAAATGTTGTGGTGAACTGTTTGATTTCATTTAAATACTCACATGATGTTTACCTGGAGGAAGGAGATATGTCTGGTTACTGTAAAACCTTCATTTAACTGTTAATTTTCATTCTGCATAAATCTGTAAATTGGTGGGATTTTTTTCTTTTTAGGCTACTAAGAGCAAAACAAGTAGCTAGGATAGTTGATATTGAGGTTTGGATTGCATTTTCTTCTATTCTGGAGCATGATTACTAATAGTGTTCTATTATTTAATAGGCTCTGTTTTTTCCAAATCTGACATGAACTTGAAAAAATTTTGAACTTTAAAAAGCTAGACTAAAAAATACCTTGTGGTTCAAGTCTTTGGCAGATGTGCACAGGACTTTTAACCTTTGGAAATATGGTGTAAATTCAGCTTGAAGTTCCAAATAAAATGAGTTCAGTGGTTTTAGCTCAGCTTTTGGATGCAAATCCAGATAGAGAGAAACAAGTGGGGTGGGGAGGGGGAAGAGCTGTGCATTATTTCAGCATGACTGATGGCCCTGACAGAGACACTGGAATATCTTACATGAAGTGTGTGCTACTTATGTGGTATTTTCCTCTGTTTAACTTTAAAAATATTTTTAAATTGAAGGTTTGACATTAGTAATATGTATAATATTGTAATACACACTGGAAATGCCACAGTCAGGAGTTTTACCAGTTTGGCCATTAAAATCCCTGACTTTAAAGGACTTCATTTCAAACGGTTCAGCCGTTCTGGAAGTGAGGACTCACAACAAATAGTAATTATTAAGAAAATGTGGCTGAAATGTGTTTGGCCATTTGAGACCTATTAACCTGGTGGACAGGCCTCTTGTGAGACTCACTGAAAGGCTTAACTTTGTGCTTATAAGATAGGTTATTACCACTTTATGCAGATTAGTGGTTATCAGGACATTCTACTTTTTTTCCATAAAGTTCATTAAATTGCATATGATGGTTTCACTTATTGTGTGATCTCCTGGTGCTGGAATGGAAATATCCATGTGTTTATCTTTATTAGTTGTAGAGTGGACACAGCCTTGTAATGAGTCCTCACAAAATCCCATTGTCTTTCTTTTCTTCAACCCTCAAACTTCCTTCTATGAAAAGAAGTGTTGAACATCTCAGTAATTTTCACTTGGTTAATAACTGTGGTTTCAAAATTGAGAAGTACTGATAGTGGTGTTCAGAAATTGTTATTTTCAGAAGGGATCACTGGCTGTTAAACCTAATTTCCTGCTTTGTGAGTCATAATTTCCCATTTGTGACATTGAACATAAAATCACAACATCCTAGAGCAAGAGTTCTGACTTTTTTGTTGCACTAAGAACCAAAGAGACACTTAGCAACTATCAGTTCTCAATCCCTGACTAGTTTTGTATTCTTTGAGGAGATTTAGAGAGGCCTGACACAATTACCAAGACGGGTTTCAGTAAAGATCAATGAAATTATACTTTTTGCCTTTTTGTTTTTTTAAGGCATCAAATCCTCTTCCCTACCTCTCCTTCAAAAACCATAAAATATATATTAGTGCAGCAATGTGAGAACCTCTAGATCACCAAAAAGGCAAGTTTGATATAAATCATACTGTTGAACTTCTCTTAAGTAATTTGGGTTCTCAGTATAGATGGAGTGATCTTGTGTTGAATGATTGGGGGTTTTCTCTCAGCTCAGTTTTCTAATGCAGATTTCATATTGCAACTCTTGCTGTGTGTTATTAAGTTATTTACAAAGTAAAGAATTACTCTTGAAATATTGCATGTAGACATGGTTTGAGTGCTGCCTATCAAAAATACAACAACAAAAAATAATAGAACTTAAATTCATTTTAATTAACACTGGTGTTATTGGTATTAATTCCTCAGTGAAGTGTTAGTTGACTTAGGAGATATGTCGAGCAATAAATTCTTCAAAGTGGTCTTCAAGCTTGTTACACATTTGAAGTTATCAAAATATCCCAACAAATTTTTTATTAGATAAGATCAAACTATAATGCAAAAAAATTGTGGAAAATATTAGTTACCTGGCAAAGCAGGATTCAACTAAAAAGCCTCATATGCCAAACCACAAAATTACTGTGAAAGGCCACAGGTCTTTAAAGAGTTTATATGTAAAATCAAGAGAAAAATGAGCCCACCCTGAGCAGCAGAGGGGCTTTGTTCTTACCTGGCAGGACACTGTAACTGGACTCGTGTTCCCCCAACCCTATGAGAGAGTCAAACACTCCCATGACGCTGTCATCGATATTAATGAGGGGTATCCCGGGCACAGCGGGCTCTGGGAGCTCCATCCTTGGCTGCCTCGGGATCCTGTGCCCTGTCGGGGAGCCCCTTCCCAGGCCTCGGTGGTGCATCCTCCTCCTCTGCCTCCCGGGAAGGGCACTGGCTGCACTGGGACAAAAATCAACACCCAGGGAGACGAGCAGGAAATAACAGAGCAGTGGTGTCACCTGCATGGCCTCGTGTGCCCCAGAGAGTATCCTGGAATGGGAAAGGAGAGGAAAATTAGATACCTGCAGAGCTTTCAGGACTGTGGCAGTCATAGGGCACTTCTCAGAGCAGGTGGAGCGATGCATGGGAGGTATAACCAAGCTTCCCCTTGGGAAGAAATTGCCCTGTGAGGCCTGAAGTAACTAACCTGAATTTAGTGGTTCTCTGCCCTCACGGGCAATAGTCAAACTCAAATAGGTGCTGGCTTTGGGGTTGCATTTGAAGAGGTGGTTTGGATTTGCAGGGCCAGCAGGCATTTGCAATTCCATAGTTGTTACTGCTCTCAGCAATGGAGCTCTTGGGAATTCTGTAAGGTGTTCCTTCCCTTTTTTTGATTGCTAATATTTCTTCCAGATTGTTGTAACTTCTGAACATGGGAATGGCAAAGTAACAGAAAAATGCCCTATTTATTTCTGATGTGGTGTCCCAAATGCTTTTGGTTTGGCATTTCTGTGTAAGGGATTTTTCATCATAGATGAAGAGATGCCTTCCATTTCTGACCATCCTCTTCTCCAACAGGATCTGTTTGGTTTTGCAGAGGAGACCTTTGGGAAGTTTGGTCACAATAGTGCTATTCCCCCATTTTTATTAAGCATAGGCAATCCAAAAAGGTTGATCTATAGTGGGTTGTGCTCTGCATTTACTTTTTAAGAAAATCAAAACAATTGTGTATCTCGAGCCTTCTTATGCTCGTGACAGAAAAATTACATTTACTGTCACCAATAGGTGGCATTCCAAAACAGAGCAGCCAGCATTCAGGAGTGTGCAGAGGAAGCATATCCAGCAGGGGATTTGCTACACCAGTGTGGAAATAGGACCCTTCATGTCCAAGGTTATCAATGATTTGTCAAAGCTCTTGGCCTGTGGCAGCAGAGACAGAAAACACTCGTGTTCTTGTGGTGGTGAGAATTAGTGAAGAACCTGAGACTTGGAGCACTTAATCTTTGTGGCCAAGACAAGGCTTAGAGCATGTCCATGGTTCTTCTCTAAGGAGGCCTTGAGGGGATTAAAAAATGCTTTTTCCTAATGTTCATGGGTCTGACTTTATATGTCAACTTTATATTTTATAAATACGAGATAGTTTCATTTCAGGAGCTTGAACTGTGGTTTTGCCTGCATCAGATTTTGTTAAAAAGCTTGTTCATCTTGGTATTTATATAATAGATCAAGTTTTTGGTACAACTTGTGGTTTATGCCTAGCTGTTCTTTAACGTAAGACACACGATTGATTGCATATTTTTCATGCTTTCCACGGGATAATTCTCATATTTTTTTTATTCTCACATTTTAAAATGGGAAATTGGGAGGAAATAAGCTGAAGACAGTATGCATTTTACTTTTTAATATTGTAGTTTCTGTGCTCAACTATTTTGGCTTTAAAATGTTATAGCAAATCTAGATATTAATTTGCAGAATTTGAAGTTAATGTTTTTGTTTCCATATAAAGGGGATTTGAAATGCAAATGTCTCACACAAATCCTCACAGCATCTCATGTAAGGACAGGGTTCTGAAATGAATCCAGGCTTCAGTTTGCTGCTTGCTACCCATCAGAAATCAATCATTCCAAAATGCCAGATAGACTCTATACTGGGCTTTTATTTACAGAAATCACTGTTAATTAACATATCAAATAGATGCAGGAGCTTGTGCTCTGCATTGAAAATGCCTGTTCTTGTTCAGAAAGTGCTTATTTCTGAGCACCTCAGGACAAATGACCTCATGCTTTGGTTTCTGACTTACTTGGTAATGACAGGCTATAAAATTACACAGTAAACTTGTGTTCCACAGCTTTGGCTGACACACACAAAGAGCCCTTGGGGAAAAGGGAATGTAAAAAGAAAAGTCTTGGACATGTGTGTTCATTCTGTCGAGTTACTGACATCTTAATTATGGGCACATTTTTCTAGGATACTTTATAATTACACTGTAGTTACAATGCTGCTACATTACAGTTGGGCTTTTTTAACGTTTAACCATTTCTTCCTGTCACCAGAGGCACATAATGGCATGACTGAAATACTTTCCCATTCTCCATGTATTTTTAGAAGTCAGGAATAATATAGGGTGAATTACATTATATTTACTGTACAGAAGACGTTTTGCTATGAACTTCAATAAAAGGTAAAATTCTATAGTAAATCAAATTATCTTAAAGTGACACATCTTTTTATAAAATACTTTATAAGTACGAGTAAAAAAACCCCAAAAAGAAAACAACAGAAAATGCATACCATACCCTCCCAAATAATATGTCTTTATAAACTCATCCTGTTCATATATGTGAGTTTATATGCTGTGTTTTCACACCAATTTAACTCTTCAACAGTGAAAGCTTAATATTGCTACTTTCAGCCAAATAATGTTCTTTGCATGCAAAATACTGGGCTACTGAGTTTCTTTCTTTGGCTTATTTAACGATTGTTGTCTCACATTTTAAGGCCCAAACTGTGAAAGCCTTAAGGGCACCGGGCCTTTCCTGGCCGTGACTGGGATTCTCGGATCATCTATCAGGAATTTATATTTAGTACACAGGCAGCTAACTTTTGATTTGGGGAAAATTCAGCCTATTCAACTTAGGATTTTTGTAATAAATGATTACATAGTAAAATAAAATTATAGGTAGCCAATAGAATGAATTTATGATATGTTTGTGTTGCCAGATCCTCTCAACATGGCTGCATTGCTATACTTTTTTTTAATTTTACCCCAAATGTTTAATCAGGCACAGTATGTGAAGGCATCTTTATTATCTTTTTTACCATGTGTTCAGTAGTTTGTAGCTTTCAAAATGTTTATCTTCAGTAAGTTCAGTATCTGTCATTTTGCTGTTCTGTTCATGGAAATAGTTAATTTCTAAAGGAGAGACCCTTTAGAAATCCCAGAGTATCAGAATTTATTAAATAATCTATTTTTATCTATTCAGTCGAAATTCAAACGTTTCTAAGATGTCAGCATTATTTCTCATGACACACAGGGGTTAAAGTGCTTTACCAAGATTTTTCACGTACTCTTTAAATTTATTGCATAGAAATGAGTTACATTTAGCCAAAAACTAATCGCACTTTCCATTAAAGTTGGATGTGCGTGGCAAACATTAACACAGAACAAGCAGATCAACGGGTACTGCACACTACATCCAGAAAAGCATTTATGTCCAGTACAGCTAAATATAGCTCACGTTATTTCACACATATTTGCAAAGTTAACATGAAGTTTAAGCCATTCAACACCATGCTTTAAGCAGTAATTTAAAATGTAAAACATTTTACCTTGTAATCTAACCTAACAGCAGATTCTGCTTGCTGTCATTTAGTCTCCCGCTGCAAATGAAACAGAACCACAGTGATATCTTTAAAACAAACAGAGAAACGGTTGGGATTGTTGAAACATGTGAGATGATTCCTTTAGTTTGGTCTGGAATAGCTCCTTTCCCTGGGGGCAAACGCTGCTCGTTTCTTTGTGCAGAGGATCAGCTCGTGCCGGTGCTCAGAACACTCAAACCTCACTCAAGGCAAAGGAAAAGCAGCACAATGTGCTCGGTCCGGAGGCTGACAAGGCACAGCTGGGAATCCTCTGCCAGCACTTACAGTTGCATAAGGAACAGGAAAGTGGAGTGTTTTCAAAAGAAACAAAACAAAAAAATGTGTATTTTATTCTGTTCTGGTTTATGGATTTAGAACTTTAGTTTCCAAGTGGTATGGCTTTAATGTAGATTTATTTAAAAGAGTAAGATACAATACATTTTGGCAAACGTAGCCTTAACATAAAGACAAATATTAAAGTTAGAACTTTTTTCTTCAATTCATATTTTCTTAATCCACTCCTGCCCTTCAAGCCTGTAATCTAGAAGCAGCAAACCTTTTTGTTGAAGCTTTAGCATGGAAAATGTTTCTTTTGTCGACTTACAGCAATGATTTCACCATAAGTTGTAGCTTATGCATGGAAAATAAAATGACCAAAGCACTTTCCCTTCATTTTTTTTTCCTTTGTAAGGCTAATTACATCCTGAAACATGATACTGAAGCACAGCTCTGCAGAGCTGCAGTGAAGTTAGGAATCCAAGTAGGAGAAGTGAGCGTGAGGGAAGGGAGGGAATAATGGTAATAATGGTACGTTACCACAGGTCCTTGGTGTGCCAGCAGAGCCTTTTCCTGCATCCCCAGATATCGCGTCTGCAGAGCGTCCGGGTGGGATGAGTGGGATGGTGGGTCTGCTGAGCTTCAGAAATGACAAATTTACCTGGGAGGCAGAGTTGTCTGAGCTCTTCTGACATTAAAAATTTGTCGTTTGGTTGAACTCACGCTCTGAGGAATATTTAGACAGATAGTCATGGACTGGTATAACCATTGAGTTGACCATAATTGTTGGCAATATGTGGTGGAAAGATACTGGGAAAACACATTGTCTCTTAAAATAGTCATTCACTTCCTACTGTGCTCTGCTGTGCAAAGGCAAAAGAAGGAATATTAAACTTCTGTAGTTTATCTGGAGCTGTTTAAAAGGAATGGAGACAGTCACACTTAACAAGTGGAGATGGCATCCGAAATGAGGGCACGGCTCAGGACCTGTGCTGAAAGCACTGGGCTGCAAAGGGAGAGTTGAACAGTTCTTTGAAAACAAGTGGGGAAAAGAGCAGCAAATTAGATCATCTAGTCAAGGTTGTGCATGTCAGGTGAAAGACTTTATGTGTTTAAACAATGGTGTATTTATTAGAGATAAAAGTGGCGGCATTCACTTCAGTGTATATTTAAGTGCAGCTTCTTATGCTTCTGATGCCTTTGTGCATGTAAAACTCTGGTTCAGTGCATCTGCTTTGGATGTGGCATCTCTGATCATGAATTCCAGTAGATCCTTGAAGCTGGACTTCTTAGCTTATGTCATCTCTGTAATTTTTGAAAGGTCAATGTCTTTCAGCAGCTTTTCAGAGCTGAGCGGGACGCACAGTCTTGTCTCTGCTAGATCATACAGTGAAAATCCTAAATCCTCTAAGCAGACTGAAGGATCTCTGAAGGTGTTACTGAATCTACACCTTTCTTATGAAGACAGGTTGAGAGAGTTGGGGTTGTTCAGCCTGGAGAAGAGAAGGCTTTGGGGAGACCTTAGAGCCCCTTCCAGTGCCTGAAGGGGATCCAAGAGAACTGGAGAGGGACTTTGGACAAGGGTCTGGAGTGACAGGACAAGGGGGAATGACCTTAAGCTGAGGAGGGCAGACTTAGGTTAGATATTAGGAGGAAATTCTTCCCTGTGAGGGTGGTGAGGCCCTGGCACGGGTTGCCCAGAGAAGTTGTGGATGCCTCATCCCTGGAAATGTTGAAGGCCACGTTGGACAGGGCTTGGAGCAACCTGGGTTAGTGGAAGGTGTCCCTGTCCATGGCAGGAGGTTGCAAGGAGGTGATCTTTCAGGTCCCTTCCAACCCAAACCATTCTATGATTCTATGAATCAGTGAGAGTCCTGGAAGCATCATAGTTGTGGTGGTATCCGTGTTTACCCTTCCTTTTGGCTGCCTTTAAGTCACTTTTCTCCTTTAACATGCAGACCAAAATGAAGTTTCTCCAATATTGTATCTGCTGCCATTTAAAATATCTAAACAAAAACCTGTTGTACTGAACAAATAAATAATGTCATCTGTTCTCCTTCATCCCTCTAATTACCTGGGGTCAGTGTGGCTTTGTGATCTTGGTAGAGCCTGCCATTAGTATGAAGCAGAATATGCCTGGGAGGCCCTTGCTTATCTTTTGCTCAACTTTAAGGAAGAAGTAAAGACTATTGGAGGGATCTGCAAAGACACAGTTCCCTCTTCATGAAAATGGCATTACACCTTCCTTCAGTGAGCAGTAACACTTGAAAATTGTATGAGCTGTTAAAGAGCAACCCATTATTATTATGTGATATCTGGAGGGTTTGGGATTTTTAGTTTGGAAAACTGTTGTCTGAGAATGGATATCATCTGCCATGTTTCAATAATTAGATATTAGTTTTAATTTTGTTAAATATTGGTTTAATACTGTTATCCATTAAAATCTTCCACACAAACTTGCCTGTCATAATAACTAAAGTAAAAACACTGTATATTCTGCTAAACCTTCAGACTGGGATGTCCTTGCAAATGATTTTGGACACAGGCAGTTCAGGCAGTTTCTGTTTGAGTGAAAAATGCTGTTGTGTCCTCAGGGATCTAATCCTTGCTGTGTTTATGGGAATAGTTGACTCTGAGAGCAGAGCAAGGTGCCAATATCTGCTTCACATGCATGTACTTTATGCCTGTCTATCCCACATGCATGGCCAGGCATTGGAGTGAGTTGTGGAATGGGAATGTTACAGTCTGTTAAGATGCCTTAATGTGGAATGGTCTCCTTTGAGGGAAGAGGAGACACAGAGTAAGCAGTGACTAATAATTAGAGAAATTTTTTATTACTTTATATCTTAGGGCAAACTGCCACTGTTGGCTCATGTTTTGAGTAAGAGCCATAGGATGTGAGAAATGGATGTGGGAGCCTGGAGCCTCTGGCATGGATTCTTCTTAAAATATAGGCTGATCTCTTTTCCTTAAAGCTTGTTACTTGTAGAGGGACAAGGCTTTCCCTCTTGCTTTGCTGAAATTGTGGAAATTGTTCAAGAGAATCTTCTTCAGTCAAAAAGAGGGATTAGAATTTGGGTTGGCATCAGGCTTGTTTATAGTGGTTACAACAGTTTCTCATAACATCTCTCACTGGGCCTATTAGATGACAACCAGTAGTGGCAAAGGGTTTTTCAGCAATTCAATACAGTTGAAATAAATTTGCTTTCTATCTCTTCCTCAAAATACCTGCTTTTCAGACATTGATCTAAATCTCACTTCTGTGGATCCCATGAGTTAAGGCAGCAACACTCCTGGACCCCACACTGGTATAAAGTTATGGGTTTTTTTAAATTTTATGTATTTCCAGTAATTGTGATCTGTTCACTATTCCTGGTGTGGAGTTTTCTGATCTGTCGCCACATTAAGTAGAAATACAGAATTAGAATCTTTTAAAAACTATACTGGGGGAGTGTATAAGAGCAAGTGTGCTTTTTAAACACATGCCATATGAATATTCCTTATGTCCATAATGTGAGCAACCTAGTCAGGGCAATATGGAGCAATAGCAGGATACTTCCTTCTGGGATCCCAACAGAACTTGTTCCCCTTAGGGGGTAGTGTAACTATAGCCCTTTGTCCCAAAAAGTTGGATTTCTTAAGTATTGGTGCTCTTGACACAGAATGGATTGAAACACGGACTTTAGATGATGTGTGTATATGTATTTTTATATATATATATATATTCAACTGATTCCCACAGAGTTTTAGAACTACAGCATCAATGATGTATTGCTCTCCTCTGCATCTGTATGTTTGCAGCCATTTCCTGAGACAGCAATATTAGATAAAACTTGTTTACTTGTGATATCTACCCCTGCACTATGAGGGAATACAAGAATATTTGTCAACTAGCAAATAACATTTTGTGATCTTCTGGAATTGCTTCCAAAGTATGAGTGACCACTGCTGCTTCTTCCTCCCCTAAGTGTAGCTTTCTATTCCACAACATCAAATTGTAATTTTTCTGAATTTCCTGAGGGCATCAGTAGCCTCTTTTGTTTTCACAGCAAGAGGTATTAGTCAGTGTGCAGTAAGACTATTGTTATTTTCACTTTTATCAATTTTGCTTCTTTCTGTGGGAGCTGATGGTGGGAGGAAAAACTTGCATTCACTATTGTATGTCTGTTCTAAACCTCAGAGAGGGTAAAATTAAGTATGAGTTAAGATAACAGAATCTGTGATGCTGAGAAGGGCTCATGGATTTTCAAATTCCATCTGAAAGGCCACTTAAATACAGGGAACATCCTGAAACAGAGGAGGAATAACATCGCTTTCTTAAATATCTTCGAAGTGCCTGAAGTGTAATACCTTAGTCATGGAAGAAAGCGAGAAGGCTGAAGGAATAGGAGGACATCTTAAAAATAAAAATTCTTAAGCCAACTTAGGAAGTATAGAAAGTATGGAGTTGAAGAGTCCAGAGTACAGAAAGAGGAGTTGAAGTAACTGTTTATGATCATGGCATACAGAGACCAGGAAACCTCAGCTGTACATCATACCTTTTAAAAATGGAATCTTATATCTGCACGGTGGCCAAACTAAACTGGAGCAGGAACAGCCTTCACTGAGCCAGTTCAGTGCCAGGGATAACCTGGCTGAGCAGAGTGGAGGAAAGGACACATTTCCTTCAGTCCCCCCCGGTAACTCCCAGCACTGCCTGAATGACCTTCTGAGCTCCCACAGAGTGAGTGTTCTCAGGGGTCAGCGAGTCCAACCTGCTGCCCAGAGCAGGTGAAGGCTGAACTCACAACAGGGGTTTGTTCTCTTGGTTTCAAAAGGCATCAAGGACAGAGTTTACCCAACTTCTCTTGGCTGCCCAGATCGCATTACTTGCTTTCCCTTATTATATTCCTTGATTCCTTTTGCTCCCCTTTTCCCCTCACAAGTTCTTTTCTCAGCCATTTCAAAATATACAGCCTGCCAAGGTTTGTAG